GGGGGGGGGGGGGGGGTGGTATATATCTTCAAATTTTGAGTCTTTTCTCTACTGAAATATTTCGATTGAGGAGTCGAAAAACAAAAGACTCATACAGCGTTCTGATCGCAGTAATTTATGGCTTGGGACCTTTATTCCGGTCCGATATCATTATTTTGAGTCCTTAGTGCTACTGCTGAACTGAGGGCAACTGGAAATGGTCGCGGTGCCGCGGAAGTGTAGGAAACTTGGTGTTTCATTCTTAGATGCTGTCTCGTTTGAGGTTCAGGACCTCTTGGCGGAATTAGGACCCTCTCCTAATGAAGCGAGCAAGAGGTACGTTTTCAAGTCCGTGCCGCCTGCATTTCTCCCCTGAATACCGTAAACCAAGCGGGCGTTGCGGAACATTATAATTTTGTGTTTCCTATTCTCATCTTGATCTCGCCTATTGCTGTCGTCACTGATTCTTTGAAGTTCGACTCCACGATTCCTCGACCGAGCGACCGTGGCTAGGGTCAGCAAGAATCCTGATCTTACCATTAGAGCACGCCCTAGTAATCCCGCCTGACTGAATTAAAGTTTTTCCCCTCAGGGCGTGGTCAGAACTGTTCATAACTGCTTACATCTATGAGTGGATTTCATTCTTTCCTGTTTAGAGTTTGAAAAGTCTTTAAAATTCAGGAGTGTCCCGTATGCACTCCAAAGAAAACTTCGGGCGTGCTCCGAAAACTTCTTGCGAGGTGTGAGATGAACTTTTCTGCTGTTTCACTTACTTTCCGTCTCTCCACATGTAGAAGTCCGTTCCTCGTTTCTCGATTTTGTAAGTGAAGTGTGCGAAACAACTTCTGAAATCGTATAAACTTTTGTCAGAATCGTGGCGCCTGTATATTCTCGTGACTAACGTAGACGGTACTAAAGTGGTTAGGAGCTGTATCTTTTTTCTTAGAAAGGCCCGGCATTTTTGCCTAAAAAGGTAAAGCTTGAGCTGAGCTTGAGTTACATGATCCTAGGGAGGGGAACTACTGTTGGAGCACATCAAACAAAGCCGTGATCGGGACCGTCAATTTATCCTTCACTCTCACCAGTCTGCAGTAGAAGCCCCCTCACACCTCGATCACACTGTAGGGTGAGGAATTTTTGGTTTGCATAAAGCTTCTTCAAACGTCTTTGAGCTCTTTCAATGAGATAGAATTTTCTCGGGAAATAGGTCTTAAGGTGAGTAATTCTCCGGGCAGGAAGTTGCCTGCCTTTACATTTTCTTCCTTCTTGCTGAACCTGTATTCATCATCAGAAATCACCCTAAAGTTCAGTATCTAGTATTCCCCTGAGCTCCAAACTGGACTGTATTTCAGGAATAATCAGATTATGAAAGACCTTCGAAGAAAGTTCTCGTAGCTTTGGCTAGTGTATTACGACCGTTCCGAAAATGTGCCCTAAAGACGCAAGGGCCTCGAAGTATAGGACGTAATCACATTTCTTACCTCTGATTCGGTGGTGAACGCTTAATGAGGTACACGGTATCAGCACCAGGACAGAGTACGTTACAATAACTTCGAGGTTTTCCGTCCACAATTTCCTGAACAAAGAATATAGTGAAGGTGGGTAATAGAAAGCTGAGGTGGATGGTTCAAGAGTATTTCATCTCCAACAGGGATTTCCAGCTCATCTTCTCACATAGTGAGGCTTTGATTGTATTCAAATCTGTTGAGTGACCTGCCAAAATCCAAGTAAACCCAGGCTGGAGAATTTTAGAAATGTTGGTAAGAATATGTTCCCATATCCATAGTTGCAGGGCTATTTGTCACACGGAGCTTCTCGTTTGTGCACTCACTTGGCCAACCATTACACTATTACTGTTCACGACTGTTTTCATTGTTTTCGTTTTGACTGATGGATTATTAATGACACTTCGTTCCTCATTCTCTGGTAAGGATTAGTCGGAAAATTACTATTACAGCAATTACACAGGTCATACGTATTTATTTCCCGAATTATTTTTAGAAAATAGTGTTGAGTTTTTCGTGAAAGTTGTACTCTCTAGAGTAGTAATCAGCAGTAGGAGATACCTAGAAAGTTGAAAAGTACTAATTGGCGTAGATTTGTAGGTGAAAGACTTTCTCCCGGGACAGTTCTGAAGAAGGGATGGGCGAACACCTTTTAGCCCATTTATCTTGGCCGGCTCTCAGTAATTTCAGCGTAATAGGCTCTTGGAATCCACTGATTCAAATTGTTCACGTATCTGTTACAATTTTTTACTCATCAATTCAATGTCCACGTATTTGTTCTCTTCTGGGCGCTCTAGGGCTCCTTCGAAGTACCCAAGCCAGATTCTTCGTGTGGTTGTCCTACCCACAAGCCTGAAGCTGGCAGAATGAGCGCCCGGCTTTCCCAAATGAATGACTTTTGAGCTGAACTCGGGTGGAATAACCAATTGCACTACTCATTTCGCCTACTTACTGACAAGTGAATTAGTATTAATGGTCTTAAAACGCCCCTGCGCTAAATCAGTCTCTTCGGTTGCTACTAGAACAAGCTTCATATCATAAAGTAATGCCCAAAAGAGACTCGATACCCTTCTTTTGGTCCGCTGCTGTTTACACTACTCATTCACATGTTGCACTGCCAGTCATAGAACTTACCTCAAAACATGGATCAAAAGGAGCCGTCCTCAGCTTCTCATCGAATTCGGTTTCACCCATCGACATTTCACATGGTGATGCTGCTTTCTGAGATTTCTCACCCTCTTTGGTGACACATTTCATATGACGCCATTCTGAAGGGTACCATATGATTCAGACTGCTTAAACAGTTTTTCAAATGAGTTTCTGATAGAGTTTCTGACGTTACTAAATGACTTAGTTCAACGGAAATTCGATTTGCCAATCTATTAATCTCCTCGTTACTACAGTACAAGGTGGAACAGAAAAACAGACGGACTGGGACAGATTCTTTTTTGAGTTAATGCCAAACTGATTACTCATTAAATAAAATTAATCCTATTCATAATCTTATAGTATTCTTGGAGTGACATTTTCTGACAGCAAATTAGATACATTCATGGTTGGAAAAAACATCCTAATACGGTAAATTGAGGAGTGAGTAGGTTGTAGTCCCCGATGGCTACCTTCATCGGCCATGCAGGTCAGAATGTTTACAAAAGCTTTCTAGAGGGATGTGGAAGGTTTCGTTCCCATGGTATTTCCCAAGGTTTATTTCTCAAGCCAACATATTCTACTTACTTACTTTACTTTATTACATGCTGTTGGCATGTTAACAACTTATATTATTAGAGGAGAAAATAAAAAAAAACCATAAAACAGTAAAAGCAAAAACAAATGAACTACGGAGAACATAAATTAATGAACGGAACGCAGATAATGAGATACCTTGCTTTTGAATGTAGATAAGAATGCTGGTATTGGAGTTAGTTTACTCGTTTTCAAATACTCCATCCCTGCAC